TGGAGGGAAGAACTAGGTTTGAACTCAGGGCTTCATGCTTGCAAAGTAGGCACTCAATGCTTGAGCCCGACCTCCAATCCATTTTATTGTGGTTTTGGAAATGGGGTCTTGAGAACTATTTGCCCAGGCTGGCCTCAAATCACAGTCCTCCCAATCAGCTATTACAGGAATGAACTACTAGTGCCTGGCTCTGATCTGTTTTTTTATGCAACAAAAATTTTCTCCCAGTATTCTGGAGGCAGAGGCAGGATTTCAAATTCAGGCCAGCCTGAGACAGTGAGACCCTGTGTCAAAAATCAATCCACCTCCCTTCCCCTGGCAAAAAATAAAAGTTTAAGAGCAATTCTAGGTCCACAGCATCTGATGTCACTGTGGGTTTGATTTCCCAGCTGGTTCTGTATCTGAACCAAGGAACTCTAATGTGGATTTTAAAAGCATACTAGCCAGGCATGGTACCATGTTCCTAGAATCCCAGCTATTCAGGAGGCTGAAGCAGGAGGATTTCAAGGCCAGCCTGGGCTATACAGCAAGACCCCATCTCAAAAGAAAAATTGCTTTTGAAGTTTACAATTTACTTCAGGTCTCTCCCCAATACACTGAAAGACTGAAAACATCACAAGGGCAGGGTTCCAATCTGTTTTAGTCACCAGTGAATCCAGACATCACCAGTGTCTAACATGGGCACCCAATGTTTGATTCAAGTAGCAATGGCTCTTGCTGAAAGACTTGTATTGCACAGCCTTGCAGGGAGCAGCTAGCTTCCTTTCAGATTCATAAGCTTTCCTTGAGCTTTCCTCCTCCCTTAGCCTCCAGAAGCCTGTTACTACAACAAAACACACATACTAAACATCTAGAAATTATTTTTGGTTTGCAGGATCCAACACCCCATGTAGTGACCCTCTTTCCTACCTGGGGAACCTAATGTCTGATGAGGGGGAACTGTCAATCAACACAGCCTGAGCCTGAAGATCACTTCCCACAGGCCTTTAGAAGGGCTTTCAAGTCTTTCCACATGTCCCCACTTTCACTCCCCACCAAGATTTGATGCCTCTGCTATTGAAAGAAACTAAGGCACAAAGGGAAAGCAAGTACATCAAAGGTTCACCCCTAAGTTCTTATTCAATGAACTCCTAGCCTAGTAACACTTACTGAGGCTCCAGTAATGTGTAAAACTCAAGCCAGTTCATATTTCCAGTACTCAAGAAAAAAGTTATCTAGTTTATGGAACTCCTAACACGATAAGGGACATGCATGATAATTGTCTTTCTAGTCAGCCAGACTACAGTAAGTCACCAAATTCAAATGAGAAAAAAAAATCTTGTGTTTGTGCTAGAGAATGCAAAATTCAGTTAGAAAGGTTCCATTACCTCTAAATTTTTTTGGTGCTAGGAATCAAACCCAGGGCCTCACATGCTAAACATGCACTCTACCATTGAGCCACAGTCCCAGCCCCTGGTTACTGTCTCTGATGATGTATGGCCAGTGGTAAGAAGTTTGAAAACATGGCTCACCACAGGTAGGGAAAGGCATCGGAATGTGCTGACTCCCCTGGCCAGTTATTTGCAAGGCAGTTATTATATACATGGTGGGATAAAAGCCACCCTAAGAATGTCTGTAGATATAAAAATCACTTGCTTTTTAGCCTATGTAAAATTATCAGCTATTTGCCGATCACTATATGTGATAGCTTACACACGTATTTATAGACATGAGCTGAAGAGTCAAACCGACTGAATTTTTATGGCTTTCACTAGTGGTAGAAAGCTGTGGTAAGAACAGGCAGATTCCACATTAATTGTTTATCATAAAATCAGTGACATGAAAGTCTCAGATCTCACTTCTAATCATCCTCTTGCTACACAAGTGCTTTGGGAAAACCCACGATGTTGTCTTCCTTTAGTATGTACGGAGACAAGGAGCCAAAAAAACCACAGGCCGCAGGCAGAGGCCTAAGCACACATGGCCACCATCTACACTTGCCGGATACCTGGTTATCTTTGATCTGTTAATAGCTAGTTCCCAAATTGTGAGATGAAGGCTTCTGGCTATCTGGAGGCCTGAACAGACACACCTAGAAATAGTTCTTAACAGAGTCAAAGAGCAAAATATATAGACTAGGAAGAGAGCTGTATGATTACCAAGCACATCCTCCTACACAGGAACCAACTTAAGGAAATAGTACAAGTGTTATAGGAAAATCCTCTTTGGTGAAAGAACAGAGACACCCTTGAAAATAAGTGATGACCACCAAACTGCCCACAACTGGTTATGGTAAAGGTGCTGTCCAGTCCAGTTGGCCCTTGCTGGTTATGGCTGTCACCAGTTTTGTGGACAGCCAGAGGGGTTCACAATGATTTGATCTTATTCTTAGCAGTTATCTATAACTGCTGTACCTCTGGAGTTCTCAAAGTGTTATGTTCCTTAATTTCCTTTGTGTTCTAGAACTGCTCCATTTAAGTCATTCAAAACCCTAACATTGTCAGTAACTTTATATTTATACAAATGGATAGACAAAAATCAAAAGCAATTATGTTGGGAAAAAAGATGGCCGAAAGGGACAAGATATTTGGCAAGTGAGTTAAGCTCAAAGTATTCCTAACAAGAACACGTGTACAACTATAGGCTTATTAATTTTCTCCTAAAAATAAATATACATATACATATATGAAACGCTGTCATGGAAACTTTTCCAGACTGATATTACATACTCCATCTGTGACAATTTCCCAAATTTCCACATTGTAAAAACCCGGTGGCTGTGCCACTGAGCAGTAGGTCAGAGTTCAGTCTGTCACACAGAAAGCTGTGAGGCCCACCCTCACACGGAAGACCTTTTGGGAAGAGTCTATTGTCACTGGTAATTCCCCCCCAACCCTGTGCCCCTAGATTTGTCATCTTAAAATACACTCCCAAACCACCACCCACAAAGCAATCACAGATCCCACTGCATTGCCACTAGATTTTTCTTCAATCATAGCACCAACTACTTAATTACAATCACAGTTCTAAGAGTTGGTTGACAGAAATCCTATAAGCAGTTTCCTAGTGCATCTTATATCTTTGGTGTAGGGCAGGCAGTACAATTTACAACACATGGCTGTCTAAAAGAACTTTTTTTTTTTTTTTGGCAGGGGGCAGGGTAGTACTGGGGTTTAAACTTAGTGCTTTGCACTTGCTAGGGAGGGCTCTGCTGTTTGAGCCACACCTCCAGTTCTAAAAGAACATCTTAAAGACAGTCTGGTTAATTTGCTGTTCTGGGTGCCCTCTGGAAGCAGTAAACTACAATTCCTTCTGCCAACCATTTCCTAACTTTAGAACGGATCATGATGAATCTGAGTGACTTGCCATCACGTCCCTGAAGTCTTAACACACATACAAACAACACAGAGAAAAAGAAGAGAGAAAATGGGATAGAGAAGTGCCTCTAAATGCCCCTACATTAAAGTTTCAAAAACTCCTGAGATCTGAGCCTGTATTTGATTGTGCTCAATGACTTGGGTTTAAATGGAAAGAACAAGCTTTCAGAGAGAATGAGACTTCAGACAAAATCATTTAAACACTAAGTTCAGAAATCATGCTTTCAAAGCATGTTTTTTTTCCAAGCATGTTGTAGAACTATAACCTGGAATCAAGAATTATCATTCTCAAAATTCTTAAGAAAAGCAAGATTTTACATTTCTGCCAGGTACCTAAGAGAACAGTTTATTTCCCAGGGAAGAATTATCTAAAACCTGTCTAGAAGGGTTATTGCACAGTGGGGCCCACAGGACAATGACTTCCAAGGGCTAGTCCTTATATAAAAAAAAGGCCACAATAAATACATCTATAGATTATGCCCCACTCTAACTTGACATGGTAAACACAAATATGAATCTTGCTTTAAAAAGAAACTCCTGAGGAAAGAAAGGGATGTTCAACTCTACCAAGGCCACTTGAGTCAGAAATTGCAATCACTAGTTTCACTGCCATGAAGGATACTCAGTAAAGACTGACCATTACAAGCACCAAGGGGACCAGTGACAAGGTGATCACAGCTCAACTCAAGGTTTTCAACAGCTTCCTAGAAGAAGATGAGTTTAGAAAGTAAATAAGCTGCTGGCAATCAACCCAATAGCTGAACTTATGTTCATGACCAGCCATCACCTCAAGGTTTGAGGTGTTATCAGTGAGATGCTAGCAAACCCAATCTCTAGTAAATTCCAGTGTTTATCTAGGCCGTTATTTTCCACTCAGTTCTTTATATTTGCAAATGGAATTATGATTGGGGGTTTTCTTCCTTTCCTTTTTCAATCAGGATAGCACCATGTTTCGCCCTAATGTTAACCCCCCTACAGTATTCCCATGCTGAGCCGTGGGATACATGAAGATATTTGGCAATCAATCCATGCAGCAGTCTGTGATGCACAAAGTAGCCCAAATTTTGAACCCTCCCACTCATCCTATTAAAATGTTAAATCCTGAGCACACAAATAAAAACATACCACACTAGGAGTTATTACATAATTATTCTTCAATTTCCTATTATAACGGGTGGCTCATAATACACAGACACTAAGTGTCAATCCCAAACACCAAACTATGTGGTCAAAAGTTTCTAAATTGACAACCGAGTCAACAAGCCACACTCTGTCTACAGCACAGACACCCAGCCAGTGTGAGTGAAGCTGATCTGTTTCTAGCTGCATGGGCAGTGGGATTTCTCATGCTTTTCAAAGCATTCACTCTTATTCTAAAATGGTATACTCTGCACAAAACCACTCATTTTATTCCAGAACACATCATCTTAATGAGAATAAAAAGCTTTTGTATGCACATACTGCCAATACATTAAAAAAGGCCCAAATTTTAACAAGGAGATTAGACAAATTCATCAGACAAGAGATCATAAATTACTTTGGCTGAAAAAAAATCTTTAAAAAACAATCTGGCTCAACATTCTGCTTGCAGGTTTCTACATCTACTGTATAGGTGGTGAGTGTGCATGTGTGTGTAGAGAGAGCTTTTTTTTTTTTTTTTTTTTAAGGGAATGAATCATGGCCTAGTGCACTTTCCCGTAGTTACGTAGGAACAACGATGCTCTTTGCTAGCAGAACAAGAAGTGCAAGGTCTGCATTCCCGCCAACTTGACGCAGAGCCCCAAGAGCTTCCTGCAAAGTGAAGCCAGCACGGACAAGCCGGTCAATATCTGTGGCAGGAAAAACTAATGGTGGAAGAATGGAGGGAATTGATGATGGCTGGCTGGTCAGTGGTTCCAATTCAAGAAACGGCCTTGCAGCTGCAGGACAGTCATTTTCTCTGGTTTCAGGTCTGTCTGTTACTGGGTAATGTATGCCCTGACCCAAGTCTTCAACCAGTATGAAACTGGATGGCAAAGACTTAGTTTGCTCAGAAGTCTGACTGAGTGTATCCTCCTCACCTGCTACAAGTCTGGGTGAATTCTCTACACCTAAGGGGCAGTGTAATTGATTAGATTTAGCTGAAGTTATAGTGCCAGAACTGTTCTTGCTTACTGACTCCCTAGATCTGGGGACACCTTCCTTGTCAGCTGATAGATCATCACCTAAACCCCCGGAACTAGTATTTTTTACATCTTCTATGTCAGTACAAGGTGTGGTGCCTAAGTTTTCTGTCTTTACTGATACCAATCTGGTCTGGTGATAGGAGACTTGTGGACACTCGTCATCGAGGGTCAGATGCTCACTTTGGGTCCACCTTTCTGAAAGGTCCTTAATACCTGTTTGGTGGTCAGCTACAATTTCCGATTGACAGGTAACTTCCTCAGGTGTATTTTCTGAAGCTGGCTTACTACTAATGACCAAAAGTTCATGAAGTTCTTTCAAAGCTGCTGTTAAGGATGAACAAGGTTCTTCTGCTGACTCCACAGAGGGCTGACAACAGCCACACAAACTTAAAGAGGGGGAGGAACAGCCATATTCTTTATTTGTTCCACACATTTCAATATTACTTCTTGGGGGCTGTAAATCCTGAGTGGAGATGGCATTACTCAAATTTTCAGATGAGGGGTTACATTTTGATGTTTCTACTTCCATCGAAGGATTATCTGAAGTGAGATCCAATGCATCAGTGTTGTTGACACTTGCACTCAGACTACCTGCTGAGTTAAGCACAGCAACTAGGGACTGGTCAAGCGTATCTACTTCCATAAGTGTTTCTGAGTCTGAGCAGCATCCTGAAGGTAGAAAACATTTCTCTGTACTTGTAAGATCCATATTTTTTTGTCCATACCCTTTCATCGTAGCTTCCAAATCAACAATATTTTGCTGGTCCTGGTGTCTTTCTTCATCAAGTTCAAGGTCCCCCATGTCACAAAGATGCTCTCTGTCACATGGAGTATTCTTCTGTACCACTTCATGCTGTTCACTCCCTGGTTCTATGTGCTGCTGAAGGCCATTCACTGGACTCAGGTTTTGACTTTTTGGATGCCGACACCTTTCATCTATAAGCATCAATGGTTCATGCATCCTAGTACTTGTGACAGATAAACTAGCTTCCTGTCTTGTGTGAAGATAAAACTTGAGGCCCTGGGTACTTCTTTCAGTAGATTTCTCCAGATTATCTGCTATGACTGCTTCTTCAGAGGAATTATGCAAAGGCATATCTAGACTCTGGTCTGCTGAGGAAGCGAGATCAGAATGATCCTGTAGAGGAAAATGTTCTTTCTTTTTAGAGTTTATCTGGAATTCAGCTGAAGCCTTCAAAGTCTTCACAGCTGTAGGTTCAATGCTATCTGGGTCACTGGGCTTGATAGGGCAGACTGAAGCAGAGACAGAGCGAGCAAGACTTGTAGGACTACCAATCTCAGGACTCTGTCCTGAAGAATGGGATGGATGGTTAAATCCATCTAAAGTTGGTAATGATGACATTCCCAGTGAGGTAGATTCTTTACCGCTTTTCTCTGTAATGAAATGCAAAGGAAAAAGATTAATTAGCACGTAATAATGGCCACCAATTTTATCAGAGAATACATATCTGAACAGGATAGAATAAAACCAGGTCCTTAAACTTAGGTTTCTCTTATAGACATGAGTTTAAAAATGCAAGACTCTTTTCTCATTGGGAAATGATGATTTTTTTTAGCAGGGGAACACTGGGGGTTGAACATAGGGCCTTGCACTTGCTAGCCAACTGCTCTACATTGTCAATATGTCAGTGTTGTAGAAAACTGACATCACAGAATCAGAGTAAGAAGTAGGCATGTTTTTAATAAACATCTGCAGTGTAGTCCAATGTGATTGTTTAGGCAGTGTTAACATGCATTCCTGTAATGGCTGGGTCAGTGCTCAGGACTAAAGAACACTTAAACATCTATTTTTGCTGTTGTCTTGATACAGTCTTGCTATGAAGCCCAGGCTAGTTTCAAACTTGAAATCCTGCCTCAGCCTCCTGAGTACTGGGATTACAAGTGTGTACCACCCTGTCCAGCACCTATGCATCCTTATTCCAAATGCTCTAAAACCACCTGGGATACTTGTTAAGCATACAGACTCTGAGGTATCATCCTTGAAGTAAACCTGTAAGTGATTCTTAAGCAAGTCACAAATCTTGATAATCCTTGTGCTAGGATGATTCTCATGCCAAGGCACTTTTAGTATTTCAAATGTGAGCACAAATTACAAACAAAAAGTCCAAAACCAGGTATACCTGGGGGCAGAATTGGAATTATAAAGAAAAATAAGAATCCGCATAATGTTTGGAGACCTCCAGAAGATAGATAAGTAAACATTTTATTTCTGAGCAAGCTTCCCCAAAATCATGGTGAAACTGTGGGAGCATCTGACTCAGAGAACAAAGTAAAGCTAAATACCAAACAGGTTAAACAACAATCACTTTCCTACCAAGCACTCTAACTTTAAAAGGATTGTCAACTATCACATTAACAGAGTACAACTAAGTTAAGATGTTTAAGTTATTTTGAGCTTAGGGGAGTGTGGGACTGGGGTGGGGAGAAGATCATAAATTGTTTTTCAATAGGCAATGACTATTTAGATTCTCTGAAATTTAATAACCACTCAAATAAGACGTGGGCTCAAACACTAGCCAGAGTGATACCATATTATCATTTCAGCATCAGTTCAATTCTCCTTTTGACATTGATCCAGCTAAAAATGAACCTCTATGTACTTTTTTCCCCCCTCCACATACAATCCACTTCAGTGTCAGCAGCCTACAAGTAGAAGCCAGGCAATGGTCTAGAGCTACAGCTTGCTCTCGCATGGGACACTATGTCTATGTACTTTTATCTTAATTTTTTTAAATTAAAAAGTCCAAAGAATGCTACCAATGCTGATCAGAATACGCTATTGGGCTAAACTCAATTCAGTTCAAATGCTTTATGCTGAATATTAACACCCAACACAGGAGCTTGATCTTCACTTAAGATGTCGTGAAGCAAACAATGTAGCTGTGATTCAGACGGCTTCAAATCATTCTGATCAAACACTGGCTAACAGTGTAAGATAAAGTACTGTGCCAGGGAGTTACTGACCTCTTATGAGAAAATCTTATCTTACTTATAGTTTAGTGGTAAATAAGAAAACAGCATTTGTTTTTGTTTAAACAATATCCATTAGAATGTGGAAAACAATTACTAGTTTCATTATTCTAATCAATAAGGATGACTCCAGAAGAGGTTCTGTTGTAAACTAATGTTAATAGAAAAAAATATATTGTAATGAAATATCCAGGTTAGTACCACTGAGAGGTGTGATAAGGGCCAGGCACTGCTACATCAGTTATAAACAAGCAGGTGAGATGAAGGTGAACACAGCCTCAGTGGACACTGTATCACTATGAGGGCAGCATGTTGTCCTTCTGAGGCTGAGATGGTCATTTTCTCTAGCTTCACTCCTAACTGTACCAGGTCAGTATTACAGGGTGATCTGGAGAAGAGCATAAGGAAATGGCTATTAAGATAACCTGTCCTTACAAGGAAAAAGGGAGAAAAAAAAAAAGAGAACAGACATGATCTAATTAGAACCAGATTCCGAAACCTTATAAAGTGCTGTTGATTGAAAAACCACCTTTGCGCCTCTTGATGTATCAGCCAATGTACTCATGCTGACAATGACCTTACTTACATCACACAGAAACAGAAGTAGTGCCTCCTGCGGAAAAATCTGTCAAGTCAGGGACAGTGGGAAGGGCAAAGTCTCAGCTCTAAGTCACACCTACTATGTTATCTTTTTTTCTAGAGACACGGTCTTGTTATGTTTCCCAGGTTGGCCTTAAACTCTCTTATGCTCTACCATTGAGCTATTTCCCCAAATCCTAGAGTGCTGGGATTATAGGGTGACCTACCATACCCAGGCTGCCTATATTATTGACTCTGTGACCATGGACAAGATATCTGACTTAAGTTTCCATTTCTTCCTCAACAAAGTAAAACAAATGTGCAGTAGTTATGTGCAGTATTATGAAAAAGATTTTCAGTTTTTCAGAGAAAAGGATCTTAGAAACACCATAAAAGCACAGTTATCTCCAACAACAAAGTGCTATGACAGGAATGTTCTTGATTTGATATTCATAATAGACAAATGTGGTAGGGGTAACAGACACTTTTTACTGACACCCCCCCCAATGTTGTAGTGACTGATAAAAGTTTTAAGTAAGAATTTATGTATATATATGCGTGTATATATACACACATATATATGCCAACATATATTCAACACAGATGCAGGCTAGTTGTAACCAGGCTGAAGAGGGTGCAATGGTGAATGGTAGAAGCTAACTTCTACAACTGTTCCAGACAGAGACTTTCAAACCACAGGTGTCGACGGGACAGGAGGCTCAAGATGGGTCTATAAATACCTGGTCTGGGGCCCACTCCAGCTGCAGCACACACACACTACATGCATCATGGCTTCTGACGCTCTGTTTGGATTAGGAAACAGACAAGCAAACTTGGGTTAACAATGCAAACCACACCGCATGCAGGGTTACTGTCTTCATTCCTTTGTCATTTTAAAAATTAGGAACCACTAGTGTTAAAGTTGAATGTTTCTCAAGTTTGGGCATCCCAAAGATTTACAGGTTGCTTCAATTCTCTCACAATACAATAAAGAATGTGCCAACTTAACAGACTTGTTTTTTTTTTAATGACAGGGTCTCGACTGCCCAGGCTGGCCTCGAATTCGAGACTCTCTTGCAGCTGCGATTACAGGCATGCACATCCACTTTAACAGATGTTTAACTGAACTTGGAAAGAAATTAATTTCACACATTTACAAACAGAATTTATGGGAAAACACACGTGAAAAAAACCAATCTATCACATGGAATTATGTGATAAGAAACATTAGTGAATGACTAACAATCACTTTGCAAAAAAAAAAAAAAAAAAAAAAAAGAAAAATTTTTAAAATTTTTTTGTGGCAGTACTGGGGTTCCTCCAAGACCTCATGCTTGCTACACAGGTACACTACCAGGCTGCCAGCCTTTTTTGTGTTGTTTTTGAGACAGGGTCTCACTTTATGCCTGGACTGTGCTCCTCCTATCTGTGCGTCCTTGAGTAGCTGGGAATGACAGGTGCATGCCACCTAGTCCAGCCATTGATTAAGATGGGGTTTCTCAAACTTTTTACTTGGCTGGCTACAACCGCAATCTCCCCCTATCACCACCTCCCAAGCAGCTAGGATTACATGCTTGAACCACCAAGCTTGGCTGTTTTTATTTTTGAGACAGTATCTCACTATGTAGCCCAGCGTAGCTTAAAACTCTTGATCTTCTTGCCAGTCTCTCCAGTGCTGGAATTATAGGCATGCTCACCCATCTCTTCATTTTTACAAGAAAACAAACCAAATCTGATTAAATTCTATCTTGACTTACCTTCTGTACTTTAAATCAGCTTTTAGAAAACATCAGATACAGTTCCTACTCTACATTATTTTTCAGTGGATAGAAAAATACATAAAGTCTGACACAATACATCTATCAAAGAAACAGCTTTTCAAAAGCACATTCATCTACCATGTCCAAAGTTTTGATTTTGATGATACTAGAAAATTGGTTTTCCAAACAAATAGGATCTAACAGTACAGAATTACTTCACTACTTAAAACATTACAAAAATTAGCACAGACCATATGTATCAGTAACAAAAAGTTACAGGATAAAAAGCCATTTCCATTTCCTTTTTTACATAGATTTCTTCTTTTCCTTGTAAAATCATGAAGAAACTGGGTCATAAAAATTCATCTAGGCCTCATCTCCTTGATTCCCCTATCTGGAGCAGGCCCCAGAGAGAGTGTGTCACTTCGTGTCCTAGCAGGAAGGTCTCCATTTCTTAAAGAAACTAACACCATGTCCTCAAACCTATATTCCAGGAACCGTGCCTATGATGTATGGCAGTCTAAAAGTGATTCTTGACACAAAGGAGACACACACAGCTCCTTGATGATTCTTTCATCCGAGAAGCCACCTCGCCCCATAGCTCCCTTAGCAGCATTCCGATTACTCTAAGTCCACTTTCTTCACATGTGCTCAGAATCTCTTGGGAGGTAGGCAGAGCAGAACTTAGTATCTGCTTTGAACAAGAAAATGGCCCAAAAGAAGGTAAGTAACTACGTTGGTTCTAGATAAAAGTGATGGGGGGGGAAGAGGAAGAAATATTTCCTATTCCTGTTCCCACAAAGGAAATGGAAGTGATTTCCATTTCCTTTTTTTTTTTTGGCAGTACTGGGGCTTGAACTCAGGGCTTCACACTTGCTAAGCAGATGCTGTACCACTTGAGCCAGCTGTTTTTGTGTTGTTGTTTTTTTTTTTTTTTCTGAGATAGGGTCTCAAGAACTATTTGTACAGGCTGGATTTGAAACACAATCCTCCTGATCTCTGCCTCCCAAGTAGCTAGGACTACAGGAGTGAGCCACTGGTGCCAGCTCTTTTATTGTTTTTAATATGGAATTCTTCATGAATTTTTGTATCATCCTTGCACAGAGGCCATGCTAATCTCTGTATCATTCTGATTTTAGTTTATGTGCTATCAAAACAAGCACTGCTGTTTTAATACTTTAAAACTGGTACCTGCCCTCTGCTGAGCCTCGTGATTATCTACTTTAATCTCCTATTATCTACTTTAATCTCCTGAACTTTTTATTAAAACACAGTAATCACCCCAAGAGGATAACTGTTACTCGTAGGTTAGAAATGACTGCTGTCATCAGCTTGTGTTTCTCTAATAATAGCACCAAGACCGTGGAGGGAAAGAACAGGAAACAAAATTGAAAACTGGTAATATATTTTCATATTAACACAGTATTATGACTAGGCTGACAAAATACCCAGAAAATAGGTAAGGTGGTATGTCAAAAACTCATTCAAGCTGACTTTGCTAGGAAGATTAAAAAGACTGCCAGTAGTTCGAAATTCTCTCCCCCGCTTCCGTCAAAATACTGAAGCTGCATTCAAAATGCCACTTTATATGTATAAGTGGGTCAAAAAGGTGATGAAGCAGGATCTGACTAAGGTCATACTGGACAACTTCATTTGCTACTCAGGCCCATTCTAGAGGCTCAAGGCTGCACACTGGAATGTTCTCCACTAAAATGTGGCAAAACCTGGTTGCTTATTTTTAAAAGTTCATTATCACTTTTGTCTTTAGGAGGCAGCTGTTCCTTGAACTTGTAATTCTAATATATTTTACTGTACTAGAAAAAGCAATGTGTGAGCTTTAGTCATACTGATGTATAATTCTGGCTCAAGATTTTAAAATAACTCAAACTTATAATTCTTTTTAGCTTCTAGAAAATGCATCTCAGAGTCACTGTTCTGTAACAGATGGGGGATTTCAACAAAACAGTGTTGCCCCAATTTATCCAGAAAACTTGTCTGTCCTTAAGATTCAAAAGGCTACAACACTTGACACGTGGAAAAAGTAATAGGTAGCTTGATTTCAAGCGTTTATATAATGTTCTATGGACTGATGACAGTACTGTGATTTCAATAAAAGCATAAAACACTGTACTTTGATTAATGTTCAAGTATGCCTATAGGTTCTTACCTCTTTAGTGGTAGTACTTACAGTAAATACTTTAAAAAGTTAAGACTGCTTAGTCAATAGTGACAATGGTATACTTCAAAATAAATGGACTTAAGAAAATGACAAATTTACAGTGGAACTATTGCTGAACTCAGAGGTTGTCTGTTTACTACTATAATTTCCTTTAGGGAAAAAAAACAAGATGTTTTAGAAGGCCTATCAAAATGTGTCCCAAGCCAGGCACCAGTGGCACACACCTAAAATCCCAGCTACTCAGGGGGCAGAAATCAGGAGAATTACAGTTCAAAGTCAGCCTGGGCAAATAGTTCACAAGACCCTATCTTGAGAAAACCCAACACAAAACAGGACTTGTGGAGTGGCTCAAGTGGTGCAGCGCCTGCCTAGCAAATATGAGGCCCTGAGTTCAAACGCCAGTTCTGCCCCCCCCACCCCCCCAAAAAAAGTGTCCCAAACACCTTCTCAATCTATCTTGTTTAGAGCAATGGATTGCTGTTTTTTAATCTGTTGAAATTGAGCTTCTCTTCATTTTATTAAGAGATGGGAGGAGGAGATGGCCCAAACAATGATACAGATATAAATAAATGCAAAAGTGATGAAATAAAAAGTAAATTAAGAAAACTGATAATCACATCTACTGGGTAGTAGGTAGTGAAGTGAGTATGAACTTGACAACACGAGGGTTACTCAAGAGCTTGGCCATTTCAAATACCTGCATCCTCTGCTGACTTCTGAATGGCTTCTGCTAACTCTTGGTCTGCAATCTCCTCTGGCCGCACGTCCTCTCGCCCAGCCCCATAAGCCAACCGGGCACACTCCGGTAGCTCTCCCTCAGGAAGGAAGGTGGTCTGGGAGCCTGTGGTGCCGATCACTAGGACATTTTTCTTGAGGTCAATAGAACACTTAGAAGGAAGAAACCAAAGAATGATGACAGCAGTTGAAACACCATACACGTAAACAATGATCCTGAATTTAATATTCCATTCTCAAAAACCAACATTAGGCCAGGTCCTGGTGGCTCACATCTAAATCCTAGCTATTCAGGAGGCAGAGATAAGGAGGATCACAGTTTGCAGCCAGCCTGGGCAAATAGTTTTCGAGACCCTATCTCGAAAAAACCCTTCACAAAAAGAAAAAAAAAAAAAGAAAGAAAAAAAAAGCGGGGGTGATGGGCTGCTGACGGAGTAGCTCAAGGTCTAGGCCCCTGAGTTCAACCCAGTACCATTAAAAAAAAAAACCCAACATTAAAAGCACTACATCTTAGCGGGCACCAGTGTCCACCCCTGTAATCCTCACTACTCAGGAAGATGGAGGTTGAAAGCCAGCTCCAGGCAAATAATTAGCAAGACCTTGTCTTGAGAATACCCAACACAAAAAGGGGCTGGAGGATTGGCTCATGTGGTAGAGTACTAGCCTAGCAAGTGTGAGGCCTGGAATTCAAATTCCAGCTACTCCCCCACCCCCTAAAAAAATAGACCCTACTGTGAAACTCTCTATTACCCAGTGGACATTAACTACTTTCAATGAGGCTTCAGAACAGAAATAAAAATATCAATGAAGGATAAGTTGTTCAAGTACACTGTGTGCACCTACTTGAATGTACCACAATAAACCCCTCATATTACTAATGTATGCTAACTAGAATTGCATTTAAACTGTAGAAAAACTGTCATCATAAATTCATCTGCTTTTAAATCATTCTTCCAATTCTAAGAAAACATTTCCATTCCCTACATCATATGTACACCTTCCTTAATCTTCCCACGTGCTGCTTAATCAGCATCTAAGAATTACTAAAGATTTACTAAGACTAAACACTCACAATAAACCATCAAAAGACTGCTTGAGTCCTAATGAGAATCTTAAAATTACACAAGAGAAGCAAATTGCGCATTATGTCAAAACAGACAGCAAGATTTAACAGAGTCAGAGGTTCTATTTCTAATGATGTGCTGTTTCACCTCTTGTATGACAACATAATTAAGGACATTTCCAGGTTTGAAAAGTCATGCTTTTTAGTATACATAATGGATAGAAATGATGTGATAACAGCCATCCACCCCCACCCCCACAGAGGGAAAGAAGAGAAGCTTTTAATCACCTGATGCCTTTTAAGCATGTCCAGTCCTAGAAGCATGTCCATGGGCTGCTCCTCAAGTATAGAGAAGGAACATGCCAGGAAGTCTCCTTCAATCTGAACCTGAGCTAAAGCACATGAGGAGAAGAGATTACTGATGTTTGCTTTAGAAGCCCTAGGAAGCTCCAGAGATGAGCCCACCACCCCATGCCTGGATTTCTGCACTTAACATGTAAACAGGTCGGTTAAAAATGGAAACCTACAGAACCAATGACTAGTCTGAAAGGCAGTGAGGGCTTAAGCCCACAGGGCAGAATTTGCAGCAGTACTATTCATAATCCCTGCTTGACACCAGTGCTGTAAGGACACATGCTCATTGGGTGAGGAATGTCAATGTTTAAGGATAAAAAGAAACTGTAACAATAAAGTCAACTCCTCTAATATTAACCAGTAGCTTCCTACCACAAATTTTCCCTCAGCGTTGAGGAATCAAAGCCCCAGGGCCTTGTGCAAGCTGGGCAAGTGCTCTACCACTGAGTTATATCTCCATGCAGGTTTTCTAAAAGGGAATTAAGAATCTGTACACTTTAAACCTTTAAATTAACTTCCATGAAAATGGTTTATCATTGCCTATTGTAATGAAGTTTCTATTTGCTAAACCAGAGACAACACTGATGCCTCGGTTTGCTTACTATCTCCTGCCTTGCTTCTTTTGTCAGATACTTGTTTGATTAAAAAAAAAAATGACTTGGCTACTACCAAATAGCAAGAAGAGTGTATGAAATACACGCCCTAAAAAAGTCTAAGAAAATAAACCCTTATGCATGTATTATATGTTAAGAAAACAGAAAACTGCCAGGTGTTGTGATTCACGCCTATAATCTCAGCTACCTGAGAGGTAGAAACAGGATGATCATGGTTTGAGGCCAGCTTGGGTGATATTGTTAGTGAGCTCCTATCTCAAAGAACAGGCAGAGTGTAGTGGTCATACTTGTAATCCCAGCTACCCAGGCAATGTACATTACAAGGATTGGGTATGAGACTAGCTTACCTAAAAAAAGAACTAAAGGGCTGGAGGTATGGCTCAAGTGGTGGAATGCCTGCTTTGTAAGCATGAAGTCCTGAGTGCAAACCCATCACACCCAAACACAAAAAACAACAGTAACTAAACCAAAGGGGCTGGAAGTGTAGCTCAAATAGTAAGAGTGCAAACAGATGCAAAATATAATAGGAAAACAGAAGGTTGGGAATTAAAACCTCAATCTCTCTCTCTCTTCTCTCACTCACACACACACACACAGAAACAAAGAGAAAATAGAAACAAGAGGATAAGCCTAGCACAGGAGATGGTCGCAGGAGAAATGCCTCGGTGGGAGAGTGTGCTTAACATGCACGAAGACCCAGGATCCTATATCCAGATGTGAGGGATAAGTGTTTCCATACTGAAAAGACCATCATCAAATACCCAGTATAGGAGACGAGCGCTCCATACACAGTAGATCAAAATGCCCAAATCGAAGAGATGCAAAGAGGAAAAAGGGATCAAGAATCTAAACAGCACAGTTTCTCCACGTTTCCGACATGTAAAGGGTAGGGTGCAATGCCTCAGCACTGTGAAGGAAAATGATTTCCATACCACCAAAGTAGTAGAATGGGGGGAAGAAAAGGCTATGTTCTGACACTAAAGGTCTCCATTTACTCCTGTACATCTACTCAGGAAGTTACTAGAAGATGCAACCCAGTAAGTGAAGTAGCAAGACAAAAACGTGGGGAGGTATGACCCTGACTCACATAACACAACATATGACAGAGGAGAAAGGAATCTTCAAGACTCCCAAACAAAAGCCATGAACCATAGCAGGCTTATTTTCAATGGAATGCAAGGTATGACTACCTGGTGCGCTTAGACCTATTTAAAGGGATGTATGTTACTAGGGAAGTATTTGGGTACAAATAGCACATAAAAATAGCACATAACAAAACCCACCTAAAAAAGGACAAACAGTGAAGATCACAAAACATGAAAGAAAAGCAATCATTCAGTTAGATGGCTCAGCTCTCAAAAGCATTTACACAGAAAACAGCAATATAAACTTCTTCCTTAGAAGTATGGAGCTAAAAAGCTGGGCACCAGTGGTTCATGCCTGTGATCCTAGCTATTTAGAAGGCAGAGATAAGGAGGATCACAGTTTGAGGCCAGCATGAGCAAACAGTTCATGAGACCCCCCAACTCCAAAATAACCAGAGCAAAATGGACTGGAGGCATGGCTCAAATAGCAGAGTGACTGCTGTGCAAGTGCTAAGTCCTGAGTTCAGATCCCAAGGAAGAGAGGGGAAGGGATAAAGGGAGAAGGAAAGACAGAGAGAGGAAAAGGAAAGAAATGAAATCTACAGTTAAAAGAAATTAGCAATTCTAACAGAAAGGTATTATTTCTGAAGGTGGGAAATACCAATGTGTAGAGACTTGAGTTTTTCCTAACTAGAAAAAACAGGTATAACCTTGAAAGAACATAGGATTTAAAACTTTGAGGAATTAAAGGTTGCGTAATCATATGTACTCATGCAAAAGAGGGAAAAAAGAAAAACATGCCAAAACTTTAAAAAACCCACTATGGTACAAATATCCTATAAGAAGGTAACTCCCAGTGCCTTTTGCTCACCTAGATGTACTCTTCCAATAATCTTCTGAGTGCCCACTCCTTTGGCAATCCCTGCCCACCGACGGTCCACTAATCTCATTATATTGCACCTTTCTGCACAAGCTTGGCTCATAATAGTCATCTGGGCACCTGGAGGAAGAGAAAAATAATAAATAAATAAATAAATAAATACCCGTATTTGTGTCAAGACTTAAATGCCACACTAAAAATAAGGCAGAAAGCAGACACACCCCAAGGCCTCATCTCTGTAACATCACTCCTAACTAACAGATGCCTTACCCAACTTAATTCCACTTTCAGTTCTACGCTGGAATCTGAAGCACAGTGTGGGAACTTGACTTTGAGGGAAAGGTCTTTAAAAATTTTACTGACAAAACAAAACTACAAAGGAACCTCCTAAAAATTCAGATGATGAAGAGTATGACTACAGACAATAGTATTAAATTTACACTCAGCAATTTTCACTAGGTTTTATACCAAGAAACACCAAAACCAAACAAAATCTTGTAGCCTTCCAAAAAATTAGAAGTGAACTTCCCATACTATGAGCCAACAATCAGGCTTCTTCCTTTTTAAAATTATGGGGCACTTGGTGTATTTTCTGTCCCCAGGCACAAGATGGCCCATGTAGAAGACAGATGCTTCTCTAATCTTTGCCCACAGCATTCATCTCTTCCTTGAACTCCATCCAGTTCCATACTCCTAAGTGTTGGACATTTGTATCTTAGAGCCAAAGGGTACACAACTCTCCCCTACAAATATTTTTGAGTGTTTCTTTCTTTGTTAGTGGGACTATTTTCTCACAGTTCTAATACCTGGATGTGGTTCACAGGAGGAGGTGCCTGCCTGCCTCCTCTCTGTTCTCAAACTCTGCACCAAAACTTTGAATAAGGTTGATGCAACTTTTGCTGCTTCTGACCTTCCTATTTACCATAGCTATTGTCCTATGACCCTTTCCCTTGCATGTGGACTTACCTCTCTGGTTTCCAAACCACTCCATGGATGTGTAATTTAAAGCAAGGCAACAGTTATGACCTGTCTGCAGTTTTCCTCAATTACTACCTTCAAATCACTTACTTCATCTGGTCAACATTCTTAAATGGTTTCTGCTCTTGGTAAGACTACTTGGAACCATAGTGCTATTACCTCACGTATCACCTCATCCTGTCCCCGTTGCTTATTTCTAGCCTTATATTCCCATTACTCTAAGATTGTTGTTAGTTAGGATGTATCCTCTCTGTCTCTCAATTGACTTTGGCCTCCTGTAAAGGAGACTCCATCCCCAAAATAACCAGAGCAAAATGGATTCTAAGTGTGGGTCAAGTGGTAGAGCACCTGCTTTGCAAGTATGAAGACCTGAGTTCAAACCCCAGTCTTACAAAAAAAACCCGAGATGATATATGTATTAAGCGCCTGGCAGGGTGCCTAGCACACAGTAAGGACTGAGAGGTGTATTGGGGTCTCATATGTACTTGTTTCTCTCATTCACACAGGAGCCCTCTGAAGCTCCAAGTAGTATACACAGCATTCAACAGACATCTTTTACATTGACTTATCAGCAGATTTACTTCTCCTAGGAAAGTCTGCATCTCAAGATACAAACTCATAATGGCAGATGAAACAGTATGTGCTTAACTATTTATGGAAGAAATAATGGAGGAAGATACTATTTGAGCAAGTCTTTTTTTTAAAAATTGGAACTCATCCTATTTTATACTCTTAAGTGAGATACCCAGAATTAAGATGTGTAAGACCATTCAGTCACACAGGTATAACATGCTTATAGTGGGCTCTTATGAAAAAGCAGGAGTTACAGACAAAAAAGGTGCCCGTAAGTTAGTATGTGGCCTGAACCTTCAAATGGCAAACTCCCTGTCACCTTTCCTGGTTGTCAGGCTCTGAGGGCAATAACCATGCCTTAGAACCTTGCATGCCTCACAACTCCTGGCAGAGTATTGGCACACAGACCTATCCAGCTCTTTCTTCTAGGCTCCTATCATTCTCCATTTCTTAAAGAAATGGCTGAGAAACTGAGGATACTAAATAAAGGGAGTTAGGAAAACAAAGGAGATATTGCAAAATACAAAACTGGTTAAGAAATGGCTTAAGTGCTGGGTGTTGGTGGCTCACGTCTGTAATTCTAGCTACTTGGGAGGTAGACATCAGGAGGATTGGGGTTTGAAGCCAGTCCTAGCAAATAGTTTGTAAGACCCTATCTTGAAAAATATCCATCACAAAAAAGGGCTGGTGGAGTGGCTCAAGATGTAGGCTCTGAGTTCAAACCCTAGTACTGCCAAAAAAAAAAAAAAAAAAGTAATGGCTTAAGAAATAAAACTATTACCAACAAGAAGATTAGTAAGGGAACAATAACTTTCATGCATATTAACAGACCAAAGAACACTGCTGTCTGAAAGGACACTAGCACCTCCCTTTCTCCCATGTTAAATCAGGATGTTGGAGGGGACCAGAGACATGTAAGATGGAGATATCACCTGAGTCAACAAAGGCTTTCACAGGATGTCCATTCACTTTGCAGTTAATATAAAGCATCACAACTTGGCCAAAGCTTTCTGGAGCCTCTTCCATGGCTATTGTCATGTTTTCCTCAATGTTCTGTTGCCTGTAATAAACCAAAACCAAGAAAATAAAAGCTCTATTTCCACGAAGAGAAATCTGTTTCAAAGTCACAACATTAAAACCAGATTTGTAAATCTATTTTGCCTTAACTAGGGCAGCTGAGTCACGGAAAGAAAACGTGCATTTTGGACCTCAGCATGTGATTAAGTAGGAGGTGGTAAGATACAGAGCTGCATAAGATCTAAATGTGTAAAATTTACCTTCAGGTAAAACAATTAATAGTCCCTTTGTAAGCTAAGAAACAGAAAAATAAACTCCTGAAGAGCAGAGTTATAAACCTTTGTACCCTGTACAATACTAAAATTTCATGAATGCTACTTTTTTTTGTGGGGGGGGGGGAGGAGGAGAAAGGGGGAATAGGGTCTTACTGGCCTGGAACTTGCAATCCTCCAGCATCAGCCTCCCAAGTTCTACGATCACAGGTGTGTCCCCCATTCCCAGCCAGAATACTCCATTTTTCTTTTTTTTTTTAAATTGGAGTTTGAACTCAAGGCCTCACACTTGGTAGGCAGCCACTCCACCAGCCCTTTTTTTGTGTTGGGTATTTATGAGATATGGTCTTACAAACTGTTAGCACGTGATGGCCTGAAACCAGAGTCCTCCTGATCTCTGCCTCCCAAGTAAGCTAGGATTATAGCCCTGAGCCACCAGTGCCCAGCTAAGAATGCTCCAATCTTAAGTGAGAATTTCTACAAATGTGACACCTTTCCTATTCCCAGAGCATTAGAAAGTCTGAACAGACTTTTTAACAGACATTTCAAATGCTTATACTGCATCAGCTGCTTCATCTCCAGGGCTGTTTTCTAATCTCTGAAATAATGGTCATAATTTCCTGATATGACAGGGTCGCTGAGAGGTCTAAAAGCAGTATAGTATACAGTACTAACATAGGAGCAGAGGATCAAAAAATGTACTCACTACTTAAAACTGCACATGTGTATTTTAAGTTCTCCAAGTACATCAAATCATTTCCTTAGAAATTCAACATGCAGCCAGGTGCCAGTATCTCACACCTGTAATCCTAGTTGCTCTGAAGGCAGAGATTAGTAGGATCTCGGTTCCAAGTGAACTCTGGGCAGAGTTCGAGAGACCCTATCTTGAAAAAACCCATCCCAAAAAAAAGGATAAGTGGAGTGGCTCAAGTGGTAAGAGCAACTGCCTAGCAAGTGCGAGGCCCTCAGTTCAAATCCCAGTAGTGCCAAAAGAGTTTCTCCTTTAAAAGAATGGATACAGCTGGGTGCTATAATCCTAGCTACTCAGGAGGCAGAGATCAGGAGGATCATGGTTTGAAATCAGCCCAACCAAATAGTTCAAGACACCCTATCCCGAAAAACCTTTCACTAAAAAGGGGTTGCTGGGCCAGGTGCCTGTAATCCTAGCTACTGTAGAGGCAGAGGATCAGGAGGATTGTAGTTCAAAGCTAGCCCCAGCAAACAGTTCGTGAGACCCTATCCGCAAAAAAACCTATCACAAAAAAGGGCTGGTGGAGTAGCTTGAGGTGTAGGCTCTTAGTTCAAGCCCCAGTACTGCAAAAATAAAAAATAAAATAAAATAAAATAAATGCAAGCTGGGTGCTGGTGGCTCATGTCTGTAATCCTTGCTACTCAGGAGGCTACGATTGGGAGGACTGCAGTTCAAGGATGGCCAACACAAATAGTTCTTGAGATTCCATCTCCAAAATAACAAGAGCAACATGGGCGAGAAATGTGTGACTGTAGCTCAAGCAGTAGAGTGCCTGCTTTCCACGTGTGAAGCCCTGGGTTCAAACCTCAGTCTCACGAAAAAAGTATGGATGCATTACCTTGTTTCCTTTGCCCAATCCCTATGAAGAAATCTGTACCCTAAGGATATGCTCTGATTCACTTCCATATTGAGGTTTGTGATGACACCTTCCCATGTCTCTTGCTTCCCAGGTTGAACACAACTATTCCTGAAATTTATCTCAGCTCTCCTTACTGCTGCAGTGTGGTCAAGTAGAAAGAACACAACTTCATTTTCCTTTATTTTTTTTTTTCTGTGGGATGGGGATCTGAATTCAAAGCCTCACAGTTGTAAAGCAGGCACTCTTACAACTTGAGCCACGCGTCCAGTTCACATGTTCTGGTTCTTTTGGAGATGGGATCTCGTAAACTATTTGTGCCTAGGCCGACCTCAAACCAAGTTCCTCCCATCTTAGCCTCCTAAGTAGCTACGATTATAGGTGTGAGCCACGGAGGTCTGGTCTTCCTTTTTCTCTGGGTCAATTTAACTAATAAAATGTGTCTCAAAGATATTTGCCAATTTCTGATACAGTTAATGGGAATACTTAATAAGAACATGAGCAAATGGCTTAGGGCTGTCAATGATTCTGGCATATAATTAAAATTTCTTTTATTTCAAATGTATTCAGAGGGCTGGGCTGAGAGTAGCTTAGCATATACCTATGGGTTCAATCCCCAGCATAGCAAAAATAAATACATAAAAGAGTACTCAGTGTAATGTAACAACCGAGCTGGGCTTCATTTAAATAACTAAAGGTTATCCTACTTAGTCTGACAGGAGTATTGTTACTATTATGTTCTTAGACTCCAACTTTCACAATTAATAATGAAAGTGGAACTGGGTTGCCCTTTTATTCAAACTGCACTTTGCTGTGACTAGTGATGTGGCCGAGACTGGCATTAGCAGTGTACCTGCTTAGGTTCACTCCTGAAGATTCTGATTCATCAGATTTGGGAGAAAGGTTTAACCAGTTACATTTTTAAAAGCTTCTCACCTGCTTTTAACGCAGGCCCACATGAGAACCATTACAGAAACTTGAGGTGCTGTCAGCTCTTTTATCCATTGAGGCCAGTAAAGAACATCAGAAAGAAGACAGACTTAGGACTACAAAGTTCCACTTGTGCAGAGTTGTAGGCCTGGATTTAATCAGGACATGCACAACATGTCTAAAAAAAAAAGCTTCAAATCAGTCTATGCAACCAGCCTATCTGTCAGATTGGGCTTCTGCTTGACTCTACCTGGCTTTGATGATGCTCTCTGTGTGCTAGTCAAAGAATCTTTACAAATTTTTAGAACTAAAAGCCAAGTATGAAGTTAGGCCTTCATACCTTTGCAATGGTCAATCAAAATGTGAGGAAAACAAAGAGAGAATTACCTAAAATTCTCCTTGAGTTATTATCTCAACCTTGAAACAGGGAAGCTACCTCTAGGCAGATGTTCACCTAATGCCAGATGATCTGTAGTTTGGGAAATCTGAATGCTCTAAGACTTGCTTGTTAGGCGAACGGACCATTACCTTATATCTTCTTCTATCTTTGCCTGAGCTTCAAGATCAAAGGGATCAGCAGAAAAGAGACGAATCCTTTCTTGCTCTCTCCGGGCTCGGTCCTGCTGCTGCTCCACTAGGACCCTGGAAAACCTCTCTACAGAAATAAGGGAGGGAAATCTTCAACTCCACTCTATTTTCATTCTTTTTTCTTTTTTAAAATGTGCTATAATTCATTTCAAATATTTATGTCAGCAGTTTTCATGGTTACAAATCAAATCCTGTAAGCCTAAGCTTGGTCGCTGGAAACAAGAACATTTCTCTGCTGTCACTTAACATTGTTCTGGATACTCCATCCGATACATTTAGAAGCTGCATTTTCATTCTTTATCAGTACTTTCCCACACCAAAAGATTTCTCAAAACACACTGTAAAAGATGAACACTTACTTAAACTCAGTATAAAGAAACAGTATTTGTAACTTTTTTTATTCTTCTAAGAAATTGATGATTATATTGTTTCAACTCAGATAAAACAACCTTCCAATATAAACCAGTGAGGAATGACAATCTGTATGGCAGATACATGTTTCCACTCCACGCTGTCCTCATTATCCTATTACCTAAGAACAAAAGAGAACACTGTATGTCTTCTTCCTCTTCCAGTCTCATTTCGTTTCTAAGACTCTCTGCCTTAAACCAGATAAATTAAGCGCAAATCAGTGTTCAGTCTATCAATATTTTTTGTGTCTTCATGGAAAATAGGCAGGACTATTAGTGATGTAACAATAAAAATCCATTTGCCATTTTTACTCATCACCATGCTCTTTGGCAATTAGATAATGCTGACATAACAAAACTAAAGAAACCAAGGTAATGGTCACATGAACTACTGATAAGACATGATGGATCTAAAAATCTTTAAGTGAAAGAAACATGACACAAGAGTTATAAGTTTGTCAAAACTCAAAGAACTGTATATTTAAAATCTGTGTAGTTCTCTGCAAGTAAACATTTCAATTTTAAGTCTTAAACCAGGTGTGGTAGTACACATCCATAATCTCAGCACCTGGAAGGCCAAGGTAGGAGGACCACAAGTTTGAGGCCAGCCTTGGCTATGCTGTGAGTTCAAGGTCAATCTGGGCTACTTGTAAGACCCTGTCTCACAAAACAGGCTGCTGCTTGGTTCATGTGGTAGAGTGCTTCAAGCACAAGGCCCTGAGTTCAAATTCCAACAACACAAAAATTAAAAAACAAAACAAAAAAAACCCACCACAAAAACAGGATAAACAAACAAAAAAGTCAACTGAAGAATGAGTTATTAAGTGCCTGGTATGGCTTAAAATTTCATCAGCACAGCTTCATTAACTCCAGGGTAAAACAGGAGAAACAGAAAACTTTATAACTAAGAAGACTACAAGTGCCACACACCTGTAATAATCCCAGCATTGGGAGGCTGAGTTGAAGTTTGAGGCCAACTCAGACAAAGTTAGAGAAACCCTGTCTCTATCTCAAAAAACTACAAAGAAAAGATCAAGAGTATGGCTCCAGTGGTACAGTGCTGCCTAGAATGCACAAGGCCCTGAGTTCAATCCCCAATACTGGGAAAAAAAAAAGAAAAGAAAACCCCTAAATGTTCTGTTTAATGAAAGAATGGCTCAACTACAGCTCCAAACAAACTGCTAGCAACAACCCTGTTACTACCTAAACTTAGGGTGGAAGAAGATGGGGTTTCATTTTGCAACACAGCAGCTGTGCTATGGGAAAGCATTTCACAGCTGGGATTGGCTGGTTTGCTGGTAATCTTTAATTAAAGGTCTGAGTGAACAGGTCAGTATCAGTACCTGCTGGCAGAGTGGCTCACCTGCCTAGCAAGTGTGGGGCTCTCAGTTCAAACCACCCAGTACCACCGAACAAAAACAAAACTAAACAAAACAGTGCTGCTAAAAAAAAAAGAAAAAAAAAGTAAACTAATCTAGATGGATTTCAGCTCTAGAATTCCATTACTATTGCCATTTAACCCAGCCTTTGACATCAGCACTAATTTACATGCCCTCACAAACAAGTGATGTGTTCAGCAAATCACAAGACAGACTAGTTGCTCAAGTCCATTCACATTTGCTACTTTACCTCAGGTCAGCCTGACAGCCTTCCAGAGGCAAAACCTTACCAAGATCTCCACTGAGCAGAGCTTCAGCCAAGGGTGGGTTGCGCTCCTTCAGCAAGGACAGCTCATGTGGGTTGGCTAGTAGCATGTCTCGGAGCAAGGCTGGGTTGTCCAAGCCCTGAGGAGTTGATGCCATTTCTCCAGGAGATGAGTGGGGCTGCTGTGCTCTTGGTGGCTGGCGCTGCCGGGGACTTGATGTGCCGGGCACAGCTATGCTACTGAAGTCTATCCGGGGTAAATCTGTTGGAGAAGACCAATGAAATTTACTCAGATTCCATAAAAACAAGCTCTGAAGGACACAGAATACTTGCTCATAAGGTCATTGCGAACACTCTAATGACCTTCCCCCTTGTTCTTCCTTAGACAGACTTTTGACTATAAAGACTATGGTCTGAGAGTGAACTGACAGGAAAGAATAGAAGGAGTGGCAGGCAAAGGTGGTAATTACAAATTTTAGGCTTACAAAAGATCCCAGAATGGATACCAATTTTTTTTTTTTGTGGTACTAGGTTCTGAACTTAGGGCTTGGCACTTGCTAGGCAGGTACTCTACCACTTGAGCCACTCTGCCAGCCCGCTTTATGTTCTTAAAAAATTAAAACCAGTCCCAATAACTAAATTGCATAATACTACAGATGGTTCTTCAGAACTAGCCAGGGCAAATAGTTCTCGAGACACCATCTCTAAAATAACCAGAACAAAATGGTACAGGTTGGTACGACTCAAGCAGTAAAGTGCCTGCTTTGCAAGTGCAAAGCTCTGAGTTCAAAACCCAGTTCCACTAAAAACAACAAAAAAGGAATGTAAAATATGTCCTGTTTGAGGGTGGGTACAAGTGGAATGGGAGAGGGTAAAATGAAAGGGTGAAGAGGTGAACATGGTCAAAGTACTTTAAATCCACATTATTTCAATTCTCAAAATATACTTAATTAACTAAACTTGTCCCAAGTCTGGGAGTATCCTGAAGCCCTTTGTTTCTCAAATAGGAAAAGGGAATGCTTAAAATTCAGGTGTAAGGTTTCAGTCTCACAGCATGGGTTCAACCAGCTATTGCCTTCAAATGGACTGGCCGGCAGCTAGTGTGTGTTTTGAGTGACAGACAAAGGAAGAGAGAGAGAGAGAAACATCAAACACTCAGCCAATGAAAAGGTAAAGTGAAAGGCAGGATCTGTTAGAGGAGTTAATCTATACCAGTTACGGGCAGGGCGAATATATCTCCACCCCTATTACACATTATCTTAAGAGTCCATTTATTTTAGAATAATTTTGAGAAACTGATTATATATCATATCTTCTCTCCAACTCCTAAGCAACAACCTAGTAGCTGTCTTGTCCATTTGGGAACAGCATACAAAAAAACTAAACACCCCTCTCCCTACCCCCCAAAAAAAGTGACTCTAGTACTAAGAATCTCACCAAATCAGCAAAAGGAAGATTTGTTTTTTACTGACTGAGGCAGTGACCTCAAGTGACTAGTATAATCAAGATGTGATGGAGCCAGAATTTGTTGGTCTTCTATGATTTGGTTTCAGGATGAATGGAAGCTCTGTGTTCCAAGCTGGAGTCTGTCATCACCCAAGACACTTATCATCTGTTACCATAAACTTTAAAACTAGGTGACCTCTAGGCTAAACAATGTTTAAAGAATTCTACCACCATGCCGGGTGCCAGTGGCTCATGCCTCTAATCCTAGCTACTTGAAAGGCTAAGGTCAGGAGGATCTTGGATCCAGGCCAGCCCGGACTAGTAGTACATAAGACCCCATCTCCAAAATAACCAGAGCAAGGCTGGGTATCAGTGGTTCATACCTGTAACTCTAGCTACTCAGGAGGCAGAGATCAGGAGGACTACAGTTCAAAGCCAACCCCAGGTAAATAGTTCGAAAGACCCTATTTTGACAAACCCATCACAAAAAAGGGCTGGTGGAGTGGCTCAAGCAGTAATAGTACCTGCCTAGCTAGCAAGCATGAGGCCTGAGCTTAAACCCCAGTCCCACAAAAAAAAAAAAAAAAAAAAAAAAAAAAAAGCCTACCACATGCCTTGGCCAACAAGCAAGAGGCCCTGAGTTCAACCCCAGTACAATCCAAAATAATCAAAAATCTGAAACAAACCAACAACAGAAGAATTTTGTGGGCTCTGCAGAGTAAATCAAGTGGTAGAACACTTGCTTAGCAGTCTAGGGTGCCAGGTTCAAATCCCTGGGGTTGGACTGTGTGGAAACTCTACCACAATATGACAGGATGTGGGGGGGGGGGAACCACTAGCACATTTCATCAGTTAGTTCTACATCAAGATTTATAGAACTATGACAGGAGCCAGTGGGTCATGCCTGTAACCCTAGCTGCTTGAGAGGCAGAGGCAGAGATCAGGAGGACTGTGGTTTGAGGCCAGCTCAGGCAAATAGTTCGAGAGACAATACCCTATCTCGAAAATACCCTGGTGGAGTGGTTCAAGTGGTAGAGCACCAGAGCAAGGCTGGGTGCCAGTGGCCTAGCAAGAGTGAGGCCATGAGTTCAAACCCTATTACCACCTAAAGAAATAAACAAATCTGAGTGTCATCTGACAAACAATTGTAAAGAGGTTTCCCCAGAACCAACTGAAATAAAAGGTCAAAGTGCCTGATAGCCATCCTCAAAGAAGTAGAAGTCACCCAAGCATCACAGGCTAACAGTCTCTCAACAGTATCATTACTGATGACACAAAGGTAACATTTTCTGAGGGTTTGCTACTTGCCAAAGGTTTCACATGCATTATTCTCACATTAGTTCTTAGAAATGGAATTAATTACTATACTACCTTACAGAAGAGGAAACTGACTTAGAGAAGTCAAGTATCTTATCCAAGGTTACAGAGCAGGCAGAATCAGGATCTACACCCTGGTAGACCAAATCGAAATAAAATCTAAATCCCAGGACCACTATGCTCTATATCTACTGACACCCACGATAGAGTATCTAAACAGGGCTGGGGGGGTGTGGCTCAAATGGTGGAAAACCTGCCAAGCAAGCACAAGGACCTCAGTTAAAATGACCAGCACCACCAAGAAAGAGAAAAAAAAAAACAACCACAAGGATGCTAAACACTAGGCGATGTCTTACTTGGGAACTGCACTGAAGGTCGAGGGTCTGCATTCTCCTTCTGTCGTAAAATCACAACATCCCCATCTTTCAAGCCGTAAGAAGCCAGTGACCTGTGGTTGTCTGTGAGAGGTCTTTCAGCATGGACAATCTACAAGAAGAAAAGATTTCATAGCATAAAGCACTGAGAAGTAACGTGGTGCAAAGTAGAAGGAGCAGAGTTTTCCTCTTAATCAGGTATCACTCCCACTGGGTGCTGGTGACTCATGCCTGTAATCCTAGCTACTCTGGAGGCAGAGATTAGTAGGATTGCAGTTTGAAGCCAGTCTGGGCAAATAGCTCAAGGGACCTTATCTCAAAAATACCCAACACGAAAAAGGGCTGGTGGAGTGGCTCAAGTGGTAGAGCACTTACCTAGCAAGTATTAAGCCCTAAGTTCAAACCCCAGTAACCATCAAAAAAAAAAAAAAAAAAAAAAAAAAAGTCACTTCCCATTCAAAATTCTTCCAAAGGATTCCCACTCCCATTATACCTAAAAGGAAGTCCAAAGTCCTTCTGAACACCTAGCTCACCCACCAGACTCAATTTGGTCTCTGGCTCCCTCTCTGACCTCACCTCACACTATTATTGATGTTCCTCAATACTACTTCCTCCCAGGGCCGTCTCTTGTTCCTTTCTCTACCTGAGCATTTTTATTGGACAGTATTGGGGATTGAACTTAGGGCTTCACACTTGTTAGGCAGGCACTCTACCACTTGAGCCACTCCATCAGCATTTTCCTATCCCTTTTTTGGGTCTATGATCAAACACTACCACCTCTTCAGAGCTCTTCCTTAATACCTTATTTAAAATGTACCCTCACCCATGGGTGATGGATACTGCTCAGTGTTAAAAGTGCTTGACTATCATGTATGAGGTCCTGGTCCATCCCCAGCAACACAAAAAATTTTAAGTAAAAAGTACCCTCACCTAATATATTAAATATTTACTTGCCTATTCGTTTATTGTCTTTCTGCTCCACTAAAAATGTAAAGCAACTTGGGAACAATGACTGTTTCATTTACCATTATCATAAATGCTTAGGACAGAGCCTGTTATGTAACAGATGCTCAAATATTTGGTGTATTAAAGGATTAATGATTTATGGTAGTAAATATAATCTTAGATTTAATTCTGAGTATCAGGGAAAACAGCAATGACACTCTTGGTATGCCAACTACTAATAAACAACGTGAACACTTTAAAGTGGCTTGTACATTGGCAGGTCTAGATACAATCCACCACCCTTCCTGCAATTCTTCCTTTTCTTTTACCACCTCCAAGTTTATCAATCTTATATTCATGAGGGGAAAGTAAAAGTGAAAGAACAATTAAAAGTAGAAAAGTAGTATTAGGGAGATACTACTAATAAAACTATTTTTATGGTATGTAAGCGAACATTGAAGAAAGCCTGGGAACACAAAAATAGATAACGTATTGTAAAAGAAAAAGAGTAAGACACACAAAGTATACTATAATTTTACCATAAAGGAATGTAAAACCTGCCTCGTACTAGTATATTCTTCACAGAGGCATTCAGAATAAACTCAGGCTTTGAAGGGTGTTCTTCTTTACAGCGTCACATGTAAACTGAGCAACCTGAGTTGTGTTCCGACTCTGCCAGTAATTCCCTGGGAGGAGCCTTTCACTCAGTCTCACATATCCTATTTGTCAAGCAAGCAGTTAGGACTAGATAATTATTACAGCTGTCCCTTCCAGTTCTTTCTGCAATACTATCAATCTACCATGTTCCCCCACCTGTCCTCAAAGCTCTCCTGGTCAGGTTACCTGGGTACAGAAACTGAAAGTACAGCATTTAAACTAGGAAAAAAAAAAAAAAAGATTCTGTCATATCTTCTTTCAAAATTTGCACTGACGAAAGAACTAACCCTTCAAAATCAAGTCTTTCTGGGGATGAGCAAAAATTTGATTTGCAGACATCATACAAGTTTTACACATGACTAGAAAAAAGCACTCTAAGTTCTCACCCTGAACCAGCAATCTAAGACAGATCGCAACTGACACTCTTCATACACCCTTACTTAAGCACATAAATAGCTCATAGTGAAACGACACCAGCGGTTCCACCTCCAGTATGGGGGGGGGGAGAACCACTGGAATCAACTGCAGGTGGGCAGTGGCGGTGGGGGACGGGGACGGGGACACGGGACAGTGTATACAATGCAGAAATATTCAGAACTGTCACAATAAATCCCCCCTGTACAATGAATATATCCTAATAAAATTGGAGAAAAGAAAAAAATTTATATACTATAGCATTAATGAACATACCACAATTCATTTGCTTGTTCTACCATGAATAAACATTTAGATTGCTTCCTATTGGGGCTATTACAAATAAAACTGATATGACTCTTTGAAAAAAAACAAAACAAGAGCTGGGTGCCAGTGGCTCACACTTGCAATCCTAGCTCAGGAAGCAGAGATCAGGAGGACTGGGGTTTGTAGGCAGCCCAGGCAAATAGTTTCCAAGACCCTATTTTGAAAAAACCCATCACAAAAAAGGGCTACCAGAGTGGCTCAAGAAGTAGGCCCTGAGATCAAAACCCAGTACCACAAAAAAAAAAAAAAGCAATACAGACATTGTGGAAACGCATGGAAAAAACAACAATAATTATACCAGAAGTGACAGGGGTCACAAGTTGAGATATGCAGCCTGAGGCACATCAAGCTGGGTGGGGTGACATGTGAGTCCCAGATACTGGAGAAGCATAGAGAGGAGGAGTTTGATGCTGTTCAGGGAACAACAAAACAAATTAAAAAATCAAAAAGGTTGGGAGAGGGTGGATCTCAAGTGAGTGCTTGATTAGCAAGCAAGAGGAAGGCCCTGAGTTCAATCCCTAGTACCATCAAAAATAAAAGCAACAAAGAAATAAATAGCATCCCACCAAAAGACATGTCAAGTGAGCAGGCTTTTACTAGGTAGTATCAAAACTGTGAAACCACTGGGTGCCGGTGGCTCACACCTACAATCCTAGCTACTCAGGAGACAACGATCAGGAGGACTGTGGTTTGAAGCCAGCCCAGGCAAACAGTTCCAGAGACCCTATCTTGAAAAACCCTTCACAAAAATAGGACTGGTGGAGTGGCTCAAGGTGAAGGCCCTGAGTTCAAGCCTCAATACTGTAAAAAAAAGAAAAATAAAATTGTGAAACCACCATAATGAAGTCACCAGTAGTCTACAACCTGCTCTTTAACTTCTCAGGTACAGAAATTTAACTGTTGTATCTTTAAGAGGATACATGATTAGTTCCTGGGGCAGAAATGTTGTAACTGTATTCATAAGAGAAAATTCATTTCCAACAAGGACTCAAACACAGGAGAATGAAGCTGGGTGCCTCTCGCTCACACCTGTAACCCTACCTATGCAGGAGGCAGAGATAAGAAGGATCGAGGTTCAAAGCCAGCTCCAGGCAAACAGTTTGTAAGACGCTATCTCAAAAATACCCCCCACAAAAAGGGCTGGTGGAATGGCTCAAGGTATAGGCCCTGAGTTCAAACCACAGTACTGCTAACAAACAAATAAAAAACTCAGGAGAATGAGAGTAATTCCAGGGGCTCTTGCCTAGCATGCATGAGGCCTTGGGTTCCATCCCCAGCACTGCTAAATAAATAAATGAACAAATATCCTATTCACAAGATCACTGAATTCTCTTTGTGTTGGACATACTACATAGAAAGCCAAATTAAGATAGCTTATTTAAAGTAGTCTGTGACACAAGACACTGCTGATTTATAGCTGTTTTTCATGCCACCACTGTGTGAGTTCACTAAGCTGGCCCAAGTCAGGTTCTCAGTCTCCCACTTAGTCCACCTATCCTCTTGCTAAGCCTCACAATCACTTTACAAAAAAGGCATTATTTGTCCAATTTTATGGATGGAGAAACAGATATTGAGGCACCCAGCTATTAGAGGGCTGAGACTGGAACCCTATCTGCTTGACATTAAAGCCCCCAATCTTCTCTAGTACCACATACAACTTTCTCAAACATAACCCCAAAAAAGGCCTCATGAATTAGCTGGGTGACTTTAACAAGAGTTACTAAGCTATGCATCATCACTAAGGTCTCATATCCACCAGGAAGATCAAAATATTGTCCTTGGCCTTGACATGAAAAAATACTGGCAGGCTAGAGGTGTGGTTCAAGTGGTAGAGCACTTGCCTAGCATGCACGAAGCCCTGGGTTCCATCTCCAGCACTACAAAAGGAAGGAGGAAACGGAAACACACACACACACACACACACACACACACACACACACACACACACACACACACACACGAGAGAGAGAGAGAGAGAGAGAGAGAGAGAGAGAGAGAGAGAGAGAGAGAGGGAGGGAGGGAGGAGGGGGGAGGGAGAGAGAGAGAGAGAGAGAGAGAGAGAGAGAGAGAGAGAGAGAGAGAGAAGAAGAGACCACTGTCAATTCCTGGGTCTCTGTACATGCCACACTGCCCCGTTTACTACTCCACTGTGTAGCTGCCATGTCATTCCCCAGCAGACAGTATCATTTTTTGAAGGAAGGCGGCATGGTCTAACATTAAACCTGTAAGGCCCAGGTAGTCACTAACATCAAGTAATTTGAATTTCTTAGAAATACTAGACAAGAACCTAGGTGAAGAGCAAACATTCTTCAAACTGACAGGAGCCACGGGGTGTGGTGATGAACATGTTTATCTCAGGACTCAGGTGGCTGAGGCAGATAGACTGTGAGTACAAGGCCAGCCTGAGGTACTGCCGAGACTTTGCCTCAAAAAAATCAAACCAAACCAAAAGAAAAAGCAGAAGGGACAAACAAAAACTTAGTTGGAATTATAATCGTGACAAAGAACTAATTTTTTCTGTTAAAATAGGCTTCAGAGTCCAAGACAGACTTTTTTTTTTTTTTGAGGCAGGATCTCCGCTACGTGGACTGGCATGCCCTTGAAAGTGCAGATCTTCCTATCTTAATCTACTGTGTGCTTGGAATTACAGGTGCTGACCACCATACCTGGCTTTAAGACAATCATTTTTGCATCTTAATTCTCAAAGTAAATAAATCCATGTGATCTTCCAACTTAACATGCATGTGTTAGACAAATGACTTCAAATCTCTACCAACAAAAAGGAAGGAATGCAGGTGACAGCACTGGTGATGGTTCTACCACGCATACCATACAGCTCAAAATCTACAATACACAAAACCCACCTTGTGCCAGTTTTAAGAACATACAACAGAGACTCCATACTCTGCTACAGCTGCAGAACTGGCACAGCTGCTAATTCTCCAGAGGATGCACCCTAGACACTGAATTCTAATCTTAACATTTAACAATACACTAATTAATACAACTCCAAAACTTTTAAGCAGGAGATTAAATATTGTCTGGTCTTTGAATGAGAACCTTCAATTAACATCTTTTTATTCCCCCCAGTGCTGGGGATCAAAAACGACTTCACTCATGCTAGATAAGTAAGGGCTCTATCTCTGAGCTATAACCCAGCCCTACTGTTTTGGTTTTTATTTCTTGGTGTTACTGAAGTTCATTGAACTCAGGGCCTTGTGCTTGTTAGGCAAGCCAGGGTAACAAATCTTAACAATACATTACTAGCATTCTTAAGATTATAAACTGGACACAAACTCTTAGAATCACACCTAACTGGCTGAATAATAATAATAATATAGCATTAATTAAGCACTCACTATATGCCAAGTTATCTACATATAGTCAGCTTGACTTTCACAACCCTTCTGGAAAGGAATTTGGCAACAGTTTATTCAAAGCCCTTCAAGAAGTATAGGCTTTTTTTTTTTTTTTTTTTTTCCAGTACTGGGCTTAAATTCAGGGCCTCATGCTCACTAGGCAGACACTCTACCACCTGAAGCACTCCACCAGCCCTGTGCTAAGAGCTAAGAAAATTATCAAAAGTAGGGGGCAAAGCCTTAAGTATACAGATGGCTATGTAAGTGTTACTCATAACTCCTTCCAATTTTCCTCAGTTCAAATGCACAAGGCCCTGAGTTCAATCCTGAGCACCATAAATAATAAACAAACACTCTAGGCCAGACCTGGTGGCACCCACCTATAATCCTAGCACTGGGGAGGCTGAGGCAGGAGGATCACGTGGGCTACATGGACAGACTCTGTCTCAAAACATCACACAAAACAAATTGCAGTTATTTCTAGGTTACGAGGCAATAAGTGACTGTGTTCTTTACCCCTATGTGTTACAAGTTTTCTATAAGAATATGTACTTACCAGCAAATACATGAAAACTGCCTGAGAAAATAAACATACCAAAATTAGCTCCAGTAGAAACTTTTAGTTTCCATTGGTTAGAATTAGTGTTTTACAAACCACACATCATGCTGTGTGCAGAGCAGCATTTCCAGATCACAATTACTGCCAATGTTTGGCATTTAAACGCCTTTCATATTTCATGTGACAGTCCTTACATTGTTTTTTTTTTTGTGGTACTGGGGCTTGAACTCGGGGCCAGCCCTTTTTTTTTTGCAAAGGTTTTTTTTTTGAGATAGGGTCTTGAGGAACTATTTGCTGGGGCTGGCTTCAAAGCACAATCCTCCTGATCTCTGCCTCCTGAGATTACAAGCATGAGCCACCAGCACCCAGCCATTCTGTATGTTCTTATCACTTGCCTCCTGAAGAGTTAAGTTATAATGATGTTTCAGAAATATTAAGATACTTATCAAGACATTTAAAATGAGGCCAAGTTCTGATTAATTGTTTGAAGCTCACCCAGCCAAGTGTGTATCAAAACCTCTCAGAGCCAGGACTAGCTTCTAAACCCACACTTGTATTAAGACATGGATCATGTCCAGCATTAATCACATGTAGAAGCAGAGATGGGTTCTATCCTAAATTTGTTATCACTGCATTATAACTGCTATAATCAGAGTAGTTTAAAAAAAAACCTTTTTCAATTCTCTGCTAATGCATCACTGATGAGATATGAAAGACGGAATTCTAAGCCAATGATCCCAAATGTGGGGCACATGTACAATTCTTCAAGAGTTTAGGAAGAAAATGGAAATTATTGATTTCCGTTTTAGTTCCTCCTTCCTTGAATTCTACTTGGTGTCTGCTTATAATGTACATAAAATATTATTCATGTATGCAATTTATGTACACAGTATAAGATATGCACAGATACAACTGCATCTATAACATTAAATATACACATACAGGTATGTACAGTGCATAAAATGTATCAACTTATATATTATATATGTAACAAGGAGCACTTACTGAAACATTTTACTGACAGGGATACAGGAACCAGTATGTTTGGAAACCAGTGGCTGAACAGAGTGGCAGGAAGAAAATATACACACGCCCTTGAAGAAATGGGAGTCAGGAATGAGAAAGAAGGTGAATCCCAGTGAGGGAAAGAGACTAGGAGAATTGAAGAGGAAGGGAAGGGGAGCCCTGAAAGGCAAACAGGAGGGTGGAGAGCTCAAGTAAGTAGTGAAAATGATTGTTTGTGGGTAAAAGCTATGTTTACTTTTATGATTTGGTGAAAGGAAATGACTCAAGTGTCTAGGGTGGATCCTGTTCCTGCCTGATGGGCTAGCCAGTGAAAGAAAACGGACCACCAGACATCTTAAAATAGATACTATGTTGTCAGGTTACAATGGAGCCAACAGAACAAACTTGAAAAACAGGCAGCTGTTTACACTACCTAATACAGGCTTAACACTGGTCAGACCCACATTTCTGTATGCTAATTTGGCTTGGGAAGAAACTAAATGCCAAGTCACTGACATAATGAATAAGGAAGAACTGAGTTAACCTAATTGTTCATCTAGTAAACTAGCAATTTTTCAACTGGCAGAGGACAGTGCCTGCCTGAATCATACAAATGTCTTTCAATCTGACACCTCTTCAATTAATTCACTTAAATTTTTCGTTACAAGTTCTCAGATTGCAAACTGGCTCAAAGCTCCCTGGTGGAGCACACACAAAACCCTGGTTCCACTCCACTGGGGGAGAGGGATGTGCAGAAGAGAAACATTCTCGTCTCTTCCTTTCCCATGTCCTAATAACAAAACCAATTTATGCTTTAATTTTTTTATTTCCCTTACCATCTAGTAAATACAACTGGAGTTAAATAGGAGCTAGAGGGAAAAGAACTGAAAAGGTCATTTTGAAAAAACTGAAAAAGTTGACTACCCCCCCCCCTTTAACTGTTCTAGTTCTCCACGTGAATATAAGGGTATCTATCACTTACAGAAACTGTTTCCTGAGTTTTGTTGGATGTTTTCTTTTTTGTTTTAAATAGAAGTTGGGGAAAAAAACCAAAAAAGCCTCTCACCAATTTTCTTTGTAGCTTTTGCCAAATGCATATTTGAGTGAAACCTTGTGCCCTGAAATAAGTTCTTTCTGAATAGGTTTATGCCAAGTATCTAAAGTTCATATTGTGTAAAGGAATTACACTTCTGAAAAAAAAAATATTGACACATTTGTTTACTATAAGACAGGGCAGAACAAGCTGTAGTTGGGCAATAGTTTTTGGAACTATTTCATAACTGCAGTAGGAAATCAAGATTTACATTCTGGGGCCTTGGGAAACTTCTATAATTTTCCTAATGTTTAGACTATGTCCTCCACAGCCCACCTTAAGTTAAAATCTAAGTGTTTTAGTGTAAAGTCTACACAGTTGTGACCTATTCTGTTTGATGAAGTACTTTGAGAATAAATTACTATGATTATTAAGGTCTAAGAGGAGCTAACTCCTTTCCAGCAAGCACTGTAGGGAAATGACACCACTAAGACCCACTGAGAAGACAGTACACCATTTTCAAGTTAATATCCTTATAGGCACTGAGCTTTGAACTCACCCAAGTAAATTGTGAATTGAATTGTAACCTGAAAGGAGGAGAGATTTTGGCTTAGTACCAGAGAAGAATCGAAAAAAAAAATAGCTTAAGTTGGACTTTTTTTTTTTTTTTTTTTTTTGTGGCACTAGCGTTTGAATTCAGGATTTCACACTTGCAAAGCAGGTGCTCTACCGCTTGAGCCACACCTCCAGTCCATTTTGCTGGGGTTATTTTGAAGATGAGGGTCTCACGAACTATTTGCCCGGCTGCCCTGGAACTACGATCCTCCTGATGTCAGCTTCGCCAATAGCTAGGCTCACAGGCGTGAGCTACTGGCTTCGGGCACTTAACTAAATTTTTTTTTTTTAAAGAATTTAACGAGAAACGCATGCGATAGGGGAAGAAAAGCATTTCCAAAGACCTCAAAACGAAGTAGAGTCAAACTTTTTTTTCGCATCCTAAAAGTGCCAATTTGTACATTTAAAGGTAAACCGCCTACATATAAGCAGGAACTCTGTCCAAAAAAAGCAGATGGGACGTCCATCCGCGGTGATCCAAACTGGTATTTCTGGTTGGAGAGGCAAGGATGTATGAACCCTGCTTACAAACCCATGGCTGCTGCGTGGGTCCACCGCGACACCCCAAACTCGGGATCAGTAGGCGAGAAGGGGGCCAAGAGCCCGAGGAAGGAGGGCGGGCTGCCCAACAGTCCACGTGCCCCTCACGCTGCAGCGGGTGCTCCTGCGGTCAGGTTCTCCGCTCCCTTCTGCACGTACCCCACCCCACACCCGGGATGTGTGGGTGCAGCCAGCGATTCCGCCTTCTCCCCGGCTGCGGGGGCGAGCTAGGCTGTCCCTACTCCCGCCACCCCAATTCCTCACCGGAGGCCCCGAGGCTGGGAGGGCCAGCCCCGGGAGGCCCCGCTCACTGCCCGGCGTACCTGGCTCTCGGCTGCGGGGATGCCGGACTCGAGCTCACACAGCGCGCGGAAGTTGTGCAGCTCGAAGTCGGCGTCGACCTGGAGGGAAAAGGTCACCTCGGAGAGGTCCCTCCGCACACAGTACACGGTGAGCAGCATGGCCCGGGCCCGACCCAGCTCGGCTCGGCCCGGCCTGGGCGCGGAGCGGAGGAAAGACGGCGGCGGCGGGGCCTGGCGGGCGAATGGCGCGGGTTGCTCGCTCGCTCGCTCGCTCCTTCCCTCCCTCACACACGCTCAGTGACTCACTCCTCCCGCCCTCACCAGCGAGCACGGCCGCCGCCGCCCGCCTGCGAGTCCGTCTGCCTGCCGGCCGGCCTCCCACCGCTGCCGCCAAGCGCAGCGGCCACCCGGCGCCCCGCCCCGCCGCAACGCGGCTGCCGTAAAGCCCGCCCTGCTCGCTCCAGGCCGTCGCGACGCGGTGGGGGGCGGGGCCAGAAGGGGAGCCGGGGGAGTGGGAAGGGGCGTGGAGGGATGGCGAGGAAAGTGGGCAGGGGGGCTGCGGAGAGAGAAAGATCTACTGTCGGTTGATTCAGGAGCTGGACTTTGGCGGACTTCACAATCTCGTTTACTCAGCCGACAGGCGCTTTATCAAGCGTCTACCTAATGTGCTAGGCGCTGTTGCTAGAAAGTCCTTGCCCTTAACGCTCCGTCTGGTAACTAAGCAAATAGTTCCGAAACGCTTCTCGAGGTAGAAATTGAGGCTGAGAGATACTAATTCACCCTAAAAAAACAACAGCAACAAAAACTATTAATTCGCTTTCTGTCTTGGTGGTGTAGAATAAAAACCAAAATCCTTATCCTGGCTATGGCCCTGCCTACCTGTCCAGCCTGCCTCTGAGCGCCCGGGCTCCCGGCGCGGACACCCTGCTCTTCCTCCAAGGCTCCATTCCTCTGCTTTGTAAATGGTTTACTCTTGGACTGCGTCTGTTTCCAAGTCCTGGCAACTCCCAACATCTAACACGGTGCCTTTTATTGGGCACAGTTTAGAATCTACTCGATAAATATTTGCTATTTAGTGGCCTGTTAAAGGTCACATAACTGGTGAGTGGTGGAGGTCCAGACTTGAGGATGAGTAAGAAAACTAAAAGTGAAAGAGAAATTTAAAATTGAAGTGAGGTTAGCATCTTTCAGTTTACTCCCATTCCGCCATCCTGTAGCTGGAGAGAAAGAGGAAGCAGGATGGCTGTGGATACAGGTAAGTAGGTAGGTCTGGTAGCAGGAGACAGGAAATTTCCAGCCGAAGACTTTTATAAAAATAGAAAGGGGATATCCCGATGGGGCTTCTGTACTATAGCCACACATCGTTGGAAATGGCTCATACAGTAATTGTGTGGTTTTGCTTTACTCACAGGGCCATTTCTTAGGTCTGTGGGAAGTAACTACAAGACAGTTACAAAGTTTGAAAGAACTGCTAATATATATACATATATATGTTGTTTACCTTAGGTATTGGCAGAAATCCACATATCCTTAGTGTGTAATAGGAATGAATATGATCTGAACTCATTGATGAAATGGGACTGAACAATAAATTGCTTCAGGAAATTAAATCCCACAGGTCCTCAGGACAACTGGATTAAGCATCTTTTAAAGAGGGCTATCCTGGAAGAAAAATCAACTTTAAAGGTGACGTTGATGTGCAGTAAAACCAACCAAAACATGTAAAATTATTAAATAATTTATTGACATTAAATAATTTTGCCTAAAAACACTGTAAAAAAAAAAAACAAAATAGAAAGGGGAGAAGCAGTGAATCCAGAAGAGTGGTGTTATCAGCTATAAGTAACAAAGTTTGACTATTGTGCAAATAAAAGGAAAATTAGCATGAAAACACTGAAAGAGCTTTCCAAAATGGAGCCAGAAAGCCATGGAGGGAGAAGGTCCCAGGACTGCTGAGGGATGTGAACTTAGGTTGTTTTCACCCTTTGCCCATGGCATCTAAAACATGATTATACTGTACCCGGGGACTCAACATGCCTGTCAAGCCAGGTGTTGTGTGGCATGCCTGAAATCCCAGCACTGAGGAGGCCAAGGCAGAAGGGTCATGAGTTAAAAGCTAGTCTGGGCTGCATAACTAGACCCTGTCCCAACCCCCACCCCCAAAAACCTCCAAATCCAAAACAACAAAACCTTATTAAGAGGTTATTGGACTTATGTTTTATGCACATTTTTATTAAGTACATACATACTTTATATCAGTCACATAGCCTTTGTCATACAATACCTGTTATCAATTTTCAATAGACTTTCTCTAAAAAGGAATTTTTATCACTATGTATCACTTACCCACTTAAGCTCCAACTTTTCCTGCCTTCTTTATTTGGAACAGTAATTCAAAGCTGTCTGAACCTGTGTCTCCTGAATTGCAATTCCCAAATCTCCAAATAATGGATAACAATGGATAGCTTAAAATATATAAGGACTTTTTTCCTCCCAGGATAGGAGGCCTGGAGACAGCACTGGTTCAGTGACAATGGTATCAGGGCAGCACTTCTGCTGGCCTTCCCCTGAAGATTCCACAATTCTTTTGGGCTTGCCCCAAGGTTTGCAGTATGGCTGGCTGCCTCCTCTCCATGCCTCATTTTCTTGTTTGAGATAAGAGCTTATCCAGGAGTCCCTCAGCAGATTTTTGTTTACATTTCACTGGACAGAACTGTGTCACTTCGGTGCAGGAGAGGCTAGGAAAACAGTGTTTAGTTTTTTCAGCCTCTTTAGTGGACATTGTGGTCAGGAGGAAAAGGGATTAAGAATGGTACTAGGTAAACATACATAGAGCCTTCTATAGTCCAGGTTTGAAATAACCACCACAAGTTGAAGCAACTTGAGCAGAAAAATGATACAGGCCTTCCAGGTGGTGTCAAGGTACAAGCTGAGGTTGGAATCATAAATGAATGGTTTTTGTTGCATTTTTTCCAGTAGTGCTCAGGTTCCTGGCTCTGTTAGATTTTCCAAAAATGTCTATAACAGTACCTTCCATTCTATGTGTTCTTCCTACGGTGTGTTAACATTCCTCCCATTAAGAGGTGTCATGTGAGCTGGGCCTGGTGTGACATGCCTGTAATCCCAGCACTCAGGAGGCTGTGGCAGAAGGACCGAAAGTTCAAGCCCAGCCTAGGCTACATAGTGAAACCCTATCTCAACAAAAAAAAACAAAACTGGGCACCAGTGGCTCATGCCTGTAATCCTAGCTACTCAGGTGGCAGAGATCAGGGTTTGAGGCCAGCCCTGGCAATCTTAAGACCCTATCTGGAAAATACCCAACACAAAAAAGGGCTGGCAGAGTGGCTCAGGTGGTAGAGCACCTGCTGAGGCCCTGAGTTCAAACTTCAGTACTGCCAAAAAAAAAAAAAAAAAGATAGTGTGTAAGCCAGGCCCAGTGGCTCACGCCTGTAATCCTAGCTACACAGGAGGCAGAGATTAGGGGAATCATGGTTTAAGGCCAGCCTGGGCTACATAGCAAGAGGGCTGTGAATGTAGCTCAGTGGTCCAGTGATACAATGCTTGCTTAGCATGTGTGAGCCCTGGGTTCAATCCACAGTACCACAAAAAAAAAAAAAAAGACTTCCAGATGAACTTAACCCCAAGTCTTTGAGTCATCTCCAGCCTTTGAGTCTTTCCAATTAAGGCCCAGACTACATGCAGCCATCTCCTGAACTCTCTGAATTTTTGACCCACAGAATCTGTGAACATAATAAAATGGAAATGCAACTTAAATGAGAACCACCTAGATAGCACTCACTCTACTAGAGTTGCTATAATAAAAAACACAGATGAGGCCTGGGTGTGAAGCTCAGTGGCAGAGCACTTGACTAGCATGTACAAAGCCCTGGGTTTCATCTCCAGTACTGAAAGAAAAAAAAAAGTGGTGATGAGGACATGAAGAAATTGGAACTTGTTATGATTTGGATATGAAGTGTCCCCCCCCCAAAAAAAACTCATATGTTGAAGGCTTGGTCACAAAAGCCTTCAGAGGTGGGGCTTCTGGGAAGTGATTGAATCATGGGGTCGCTAACCTAATCAATGGATTAATCCATTGGTGAATCCACAAATGAATGAACTATTGAGAGGTGGTGGAAACTGTGGAAGGTGAGACCTGATTGGAGGAAGTGGGGCATGCCTTTGAAGGGTACATCTTGTCTCTGTCCCCTTCCTCTGTCTCTCTCTCTCTGATTTCCAGCCACATGTGGTGAGTAACCTGCTGTGTTACACGCTCCTGTAGCCATGATGTTCTGCCTTACCACAGGCCAAGAAACAAGCTGACCATGGACTGAGCCCATGACCAAAATAAACCTTTCCTTCTTTAAGTTGAGTTGCTCAGGTATTTGGTCACAGAGACAAAAAAAAAAAAAAAAGACAATACTCACCTGACCCCTTAATGCACTGCTGGTAGGAAATGTAAAATATTGTAGCCAATTTGGAAAGCAAAAAATTAGACATAGGGTGTGGGGGGGTGTAGCTCAGTGGTAACTGTGCCAGACTCTGAGTAAGTTCCAGCACTGCAACAAAAGTAAACAAAAAAAGTTACACAAAGAGTTACCATATGATCAAGCAATTCCACCGCTAGTAATATATCCAAGAGAAAGGACAAGCTAAGTGTGGCATAATGTCACAACCTGTAATACTAGCTGCTCAGGAAGCAAAGGCAGGAAGATTGTGAATTCAAGGCTAACCCTTGAGACTGTCTCAAAAACAAAATAAAGGCTGGCAGCATGCCTCAAGCAGTAAGTGTCTGCCTAAAAAGGAAAAATACACAATCAGCACATCCCATAATCAAGATGTATTCTATCTATGTTAAACCCAGATTCAGACACAGGGTCCTTATCAGTAGAATGGGGGAATATTCTACAATCCCTCCCACTTAGATCCACCAGGCTCATGGGCAGAGCTCACTGCTCTAATGGCCTTCTAATTCCCTTCTGCCTCTTAAGAGACCCACTCTGGAGCACAGAGTTCCTCCAGCTCCTTATCTGTCAGTTCCTTTCCTCTCAGGCCTCACCCATTTTTGGACTCTGATCAATGCCTCTTACGCTCAGAGTGTGGACATTTCTCTCATCACCTTATGAGATAAGACTTTGCACCTCCATGCTACCACAAATGGTTTGAGACATTTCCAATACTTGAGTCTAAGGATGGAGTGAAGTAAAGTTTGAGAGAGGGGTGTCAGAATCCGCCATCCTGGCTGGGGACGTAGCTCAGTGGTAGAACATTTGCCTAGTATGCCCAGGGCTTAAAGTTCAATCCCCAGGTGGTAGAGTGCCTGCCTACCAAG